AATTGCAACAAAGAATAAGAAAGAGTATAATCGAAAAGAACAGATTACAGTTATAACCAAGAGAAACTTTATAGCACTCACCATTTCGCGACGTCCTCGACGTCCATCGATGCATCTTCCGCTGCAATTTCATCTGGGACAGCACTCGGAAATAGTCCAGTAGCATCGCTGAGTCCCACGTCGATTGCACTTTACTTCAATACACACAATACACTCGCGACACGAATTCGCGGAATTATATTTATGGGATATTTAATAATATCACAATAAACAAATTTTTAATTAAAAACGAATATAATAAAAAACGAAATTTGCGAATTTGGTTATAGAGTTTCTATGTCCATTGCACTTTATTTTGTATCAGTTCACATCAGAATGCACTCGCGACGCGAAATACTAAATTTAATTTACGAATTTATTGAAAAAATCTTTATGGCAAAAAATTACTTTTTATAGATAATTTATCGCGTAATAGTTAAAGATAAAATATGAAATATGCTTTAAAATCTGGAAAATAAAACGTGCAAATTCTTCTCATACAACTTATTGTTAGTGTATATGAACATTGCAATATTCCTCCGCAATATTTTTGCGAAGATCACCTGACTTTGCAATATCTCTGTGCGAAGTTTGTTCAAATACTTGCAATATTTCTGCGCGAATCGCTTCGCCCTTAATATCCTTGCGAAGCTTAAGTCAATTTTATATTGAAAGAAAAGATTAGATACATATCAAAAATACTTGCTCAAAGTTTTGAAAACTTTTTTATAATATTTTTAAAATTTTGACTTTGATAATCTTAATTAATATTTTATTATACAGTCACGATTGAATAAATATCTTAATATTTTACTAATATAATTCAGAATTGATTTTCAACAATAAAATGTATACGATCTTTTATAGATATAAAATGCGATTTGCCGTTATGTCGACTTATCATCTCTTATTCGTTCTTGATGATTTCCCCTTTCTGCATGAACCTCGTCTAGCGTTAAAATTGACGCTTGAGCTTCGTGAGATGCAAAAAAATAATCAGAAATCGGGAATATTTTGTGCGCGTTAACGGATATCTCAAAGCGATTTTTAATGTCCTAACTTTATCGTTTTTTAATTTTTCGTACAACAATTTGAAAATGAAAAAGATTACGAATTACAGATATTCGTAAAAATGAGGGTAATTAGAATTTCTCGTAGAAATCGTGACTTTTCAGTCATATATTTGTTACGATTACTTTATTAGATAGGAATAGAGATTCCGTTTGCAAAAAAAGAAAAAAGTTTGCAATGAATACCGCAAATTTTGTGCCAAATTATTTAATTTATGTAATTATTAGTATTAGCTTAAAGATTTCACCGTATAAAATATTAGGTTTTACATCGCTGCGACTTTTAGTTTTTGACTTTTTATTTATATATTCGCGATTAGATTTCCCATATATAGACGGTATGTATATGAATTTCATGAAAGTAAATGCGCGAATTTTAAATATTTTTGTTTGTGGTAGCATTTTGCGTGTGTTTTACTACAACTACTTTACAGTTTCTAAATACCGTTACGATTTTTAAAATTTGATTTTTTACGTACACACTTATCTCTCTCGATATTGCGATTTCTATAAACGATACTGATCCCAAAGAAATTATTATATACTCTTTTTCATTCGACGCTTCCCATGCGAATGTTCGCATCTAGAAGTCTACAAGCAAAATAAATCGCATTGATTTCAAAAATGACAATTTCGGCGGAAAGAAAAACCATCACCTGTACCCTAAATTCCACTCACCTATTCCGCCGACTCAGGACCGGCTACGTTCCGCATCTGAATCTGCAACACAAACATTATATCATTGATTAGATTAAGTTAAATAGTTTAATAGATAAATTGAAATTATTTGTTAATTCGTTAAGTTACTTTATCTTCGAATTAAATTTATTATAAAAAAATAATCAAAAACAATTTTTTTATTATTATTTGGCAAAAACATAATAGGCATACTACTATCTTCGAAATATTTTCTAAAATACATTTAAATTAATACAGTTAAACAAAATTAAATTATTAAAGTGGAATAAGCGTGTTATATACCTTCGTGCCGATCCTGCTTGGCCCGAACCGGATCCTCCGATGCTGCCTCCACCGAAGTTCACAGATTGCACTTTACTCTTTACCTAATTGTTTCATTAATTTTAACATTAATCACACGTGCGCGCCAAATATCTTTATAATTTAACACAATATACGATACGATTAATGAGGTCGTATTAACTCTAAACAATTTTATTTAAAAAACTTGATATATTAACATATTTCAGTTTAAAATTAATATTATTATTACATACTGCGATATTGCAAAAATAATTTATATTTTTTTGCATAAAAATATCAATTATCACGTGTAATTTGATACTCGAAGAACTTAATGTTTAATCGATCTATTAATATTATTTGTAACATTCCCGAAAAGTAAATGCAACTGCAAAGATACTGTTTGTTTGTATACACATATGCGTTCACACATTAGCGTAATATTAGAATGGATTCCGATCGGAGTGGTTTAGTTTCCTCCTAGATCTCTATTGTGTTTTCTAGCGAAAACGAAATAAATCCGAATCGGAATCCATTCCGAAAAATTCCGTAATAAGTGTCATCCTGATTCTAAATCGTCGAGCCGGTTAACTTGGCGAACAGCGAGATTACAGCGAGAATACAGCGCGCGAAAGAAAGAGAATGAGAACATTACGTGGCTATCCTCGTCTATTGCTTGAATCTAACCGAAGTTCCGAGCGTACATACACACTACACGTACGCACGTACGCACGCGTCTTCTCTTTGTGTGCGTATTCCTACAATCCGATTTTCGAGTGAGCTGCGACGAGCGCGAGTCGTCTCCTTTGCTCCTTTTATTCCAGCATCAAGCATCAGTGCACGCTACCCGAACGCCCCTCGACTAATTCAAGTCGAAGCAGGTCAAAGTGAACAACCGCGCGCTACGCAGAACGCGTAGTCGGTACAAGTCGGTATACGTGGTATGCGGGTATTGTAGGTGCCTTCCGCGCGCCGTGCCTCTCCCCACTCTACTTTCGCGCGCCGTACCTCGACTCCCCGCTCCCCGGCGGCGTGCGCGCGACGTACCCAGTCCCCACTACGTAGTACGTGCGCACGCCGCGATGCGCCGCGACCGGCCTCGAACTCGAACTGCTGCGAACGTGCTGCGTTTTCTCGTCGTCGAGAAGAACGAGTAACCGGAGTAACGATAATATCGCAGACATAGATATTATACGCAGCACCGTCTACACCGCACGTATCGTATTCCCACAGAACGAGAGAATTCGGAGGATTCTTTTCTTTCCTTGTGCGAGGAATCGAGGATGAGACGCGCGCGTAATAGCTCACTGTCAGTCGATAAAAATCTCTCACTACGGTAATCTGATGGATAAAATCTAACACGCTAAAATGGGTAAAACGATTCCGTAACTAACTGAACTGTATTACGATTTGATAGCTTAACTGTTAGCTGCTGCTACGAATTTTTCTCGCATTGTGTGATTTGAACAGATAACACGCACTGAACCGTGTATAGATATTCAATAAATGAACTATATTACGATTTAATTACAACAAATTTATTTTTTTATTATACTTCATTGTAAACGATATATTACATTGGATATATCAACGATACTTTTATTCCGCACGATGTCAGTTTAATATAATACGTACACTGAAAGAGAGATAATGAGAGGAGAGGGGGGAGGTGAAGAATCACCAAGTCGCGTCACACGCAGTAAGGAGAAAGAACGGCGCGCGGTCGCGCGGTGTCGCCGGCGCGGCGCGCATTCGGTCAAAGTCGTTTAATTTAAACGTGCTTTTACGCTGTATTATTTACATGTTTTCGTCGAGCTTAACAAGTAATGATAAGGAAATAACGGCAATAAAGACTCCGCTTTGATTATCGGCTTTCATCGAGAGATAGATATAGATAGACAGAAACTCGCGAGTCGTTCTGTTTTCTTGCTGCGTACCATCGTTATAAATCTTTCGCGCAATGTTAATTTAATGTATAACGCGTTTTGAAATATAACTATTTTTAAATTAAAGTATTATAATATTATTATATTATGATTTAATTAACAGTTATATTTTTTATTACATTTCACTATGATTACATTGTATCGAACATATTATAAGATGGTGCTACGATTTAAATGTTACGCTAATGTGTATAGAAACTCATATGTGTGTATATAAAACAAACTGTATTTTTGCAACTGCATTTACTTTTCGGGAATGTTACAAATAATATTAATAGATCGATTAAACATTAAGTTCCTCGTGTATCGTATCAAATAATACGTGATAATTGATATTTTTATGCAAGAAATATAAATTATTCTTGCAATATCGCAATATATAATAATATTAATTTATAAACTAAAATATGTAAATATATAAATTTTTTTAAAATAAAATTGCTTAGAATTAATATCGCATTAATTGTATCGTATTATGTTAACAGATATTTCGCACGTACGTGTGTGATTAATGTTAAAAGAGTAAAATGCAATCTGTGAACTTCGATGGAGGCAGCACCGGAGAATCCGGTTCAGGCCAAGCAGGATCGGCACGAAGGTATATAACACGCTTATTCCACTTTAATAATTTAACTTTATTTAGCCGTATTAATTTAAATGTATTTTAGAAAATATTTTAATGCCTATTACGTTTTTGCTAAATAATAATAAAAAAATTGTTTTTGATTATTTTTTTATAATAAATTTAATTTGAAGATAAAGTAACTTAACAAATTAACAAATAATTCCGATTTATCTATTAAACTATTTAACTTAATCTAATCAATGATATAATGTTTGTGTTGCAGATTCAGATGCGGAACGTAGCCGGTCCTGAGTCGGCGGAATCGGTGAGTGGAATTTAGGGTACAGGTGATGGTTTTTCTTTCCGCCGAAATCGTCATTTTTGAAATCAATGCGATTTATTTTGCTTGTAGACTTGTAGATGCGAACATTCGCATGGGAAGCGTCGAATAAAAAAGAGCTATAAGTCAGTATTATATTGAAAGAAAGGTACCGTAGATACATATCAAAAATACTTGCTCAAAGTTTTAACAACTTTGTTATAATATTTTTAAAATTTTGATTTTGATAATCTTAATTAATTTTTATTATATAGTCATGATTAAATAAATATCTTAATATCTTTACTAATATAATTCAGAATTGATTTCCAACAATAAAATGTATACGATCTTTCATGAATATAAATGCGATTTGTCATTGTGTCGACTTATATCTCTTATCTGTTTTTGATGATTTCCCCTTTCTGCATGAACCTCGTTTAGCGTTAAAATTGACGCTTGAGCCTCGTAAGACGCGAAGAAATAATATGGATCAGAAATCGCCGGGAATATTTTGCGCGCGTTAACTGATATAACTTTTCCGTTTTACTTTCTGATTTTTAATTTTTCGTACAACAACAATTTGAATGAAAAAGATTACAAATTATAGAAATTCGTAAAAATGAGGATGATTAGAATCTCTCGTAGAAATCGTGACTTTTTAGTTATACCTATATTTGTTACGATTACTTTATTAAATAGGAATAAAGATTTCGTTTGCAAAGAATACCGCGAATTTTGTTAAATTATTTATATAGTTCGTGTAATTATTAATATTAAAGGTTCAAAGGTTTCATCATATATATAAATTATAAAATATTAGGTTTTACTATCACTGCAACTTTTAGTTTTTTACTTTTTATTTATGTATTCGCGATTAGATTTACCATATCGCGATTAGATTACCATATCTATAGACGGTATGAATATAAATTTTATGAAAGTAAATGCGCGAATTTTAAATATTTTGTGGTAGCATTTTGCGTGTGTTTTACTACAACTAAGTACTTTACAATTTTTAAATACCGTTACGATTTTTAAAATTTGATTTTTTACTTATCTCTTTCGATATTGCGATTTCTATAAACGATACTTCCAAAGAAATTATTAAGCTTTGCAAGGATATTGAGGGCGAAGCAATTCTCGCAGAAATATTGCACGAACGAACTTCGCACAGAGATATTGCAAAGTCAAGTGATCTTTGCAAAAATATTGCGGAGGAATATTGCAATTTTCATACACCAACAATAAGTTGTATGAGAAGAATTCGCACGTTTTATTTTCCAGATTTAACCATATTTTATATTTTACGTCTAACTATTACGCGATAGATTATCTATAAAAAGTAATTTTTTGCCATAAAGATTTTTTAAATAAATTCTTAAATTAAATTTAGTATTTCGCGTCGCGAGTGCATTCTGATGCGAACTGATACAAAATAAAGTGCAATGGACATAGAAACTCTTTAATCGAATTCGCAAATTTCGTTTTTTCTTATATTCGTTTTTAATTGTTTATTGTGATCATATTATTAAATTTTCATAAATATAATTCCGCGAATTCGTGTCGCGAGTGTATTGTGTGTACTGAAGTAAAGTGCAATCGACGTGGGAAGCTATTGGACAGGAATGCTATTGAACTATTTCCGAGTGTTGTCGCGGATGAAATTGCAGCGGAAGATTCATCGGTGGACGTCGAAGGACGTCGCGAAATGGTGAGCTTCGAGTTTCTACTGTAACTTTAATCTGTTCTTTTCGATTATACTCTTTCTTATTCTTTGTTGCAATT